TTTGGCTCATTACAGATTCACAATGCAAAATGATGTGGGCATCGTGGTCATAGAAGTACTTATTACAAAGCATACATTCTTTTGAGAATTTAGCTTTAGAACTGACTAGTACAGCGAGTTGTATATGGATATAATATTTCCTCTAAATATCCTAGAACAAGGGTAGCACAGGTAGGAGCCATGTTTGTGCCCATTGCAGTACCTTTCACTTGTTTATAATGGGAACCATCAAAATGAATAGTGTTATTGCTCAGAATGAACTTTATGCTTTCGGTAATGAATTCTTTAGGTATTCGATCTGGAATTACAGACGGAAGTTTTTCTAGCCAATAGCTGATAGCTTCAATTCCAAGATCATGTGGAATATTGGACTTACCGATTCTGTACCTTCCTCTACTGATTCGGGGAGACTATTGGGTATCTTCCCATAAGACAGACCTCCCAAAAGACAGACTGCTTAAAACAACACATTTTATGGTTGGTTGCATAAGGCTTAATTAAGCTGTACCCTTGATAATTATGGTATGTGCCGAGATAAAAAAGAAAACATTTAGTAATAAATATATAGTTTTATCAATTCATGTGATGAATTATGATTTTTAAATTAAGACATCAACATATATTTGACAGATCACATTTACTTGTGAATATTTTCAAAACAATAATTGTGTTTATTATCAAAACATTACATGTACCTATCAAACATATGAGACCAAGCACCATATTTTACATCACATGTTTGTCAGTGCACAGATAACACTTATTAGAAAGTCACTTGAACGTCATCATTTTCTCCTTTCACCTTGCTCTTGTCATACAGGTAGCCATCTGGAAGGGTGATCGGAAAAAAAGTCATGGGAACAATAACTATTATAAAACATTTCGTTCTCCAGTTATATACTTTGTTTATACTGAATTTTATGAAAACTATTTCACATTTATATTCAGTAATATAAACATCGATCTCTAGTTATTTGCAAAAACTAATTCAACAACAACAAAATAGTCATTGGAAAAATAACTATACTCTGCAAAAAGAAACGCACAGGTGAAAACTCAGGAATGTAAACACTTTATTTTGTTTCCAAATAAAACTTTAACTAATGATCGCACGAACGTAAAATTTCACATGGATGTTGTCAAGAGCCAGCTTTACAACATGCAGCTATCATTTGTCTCTGAAACCATTGCACCGGGGCGTACAGATGGCGTGGAGGTCAGTACCTGTTGTGACCACCTCCTCGAGCTTGCAACACAGCTTGGCACCTCCTGTCCATGGACATGATCAGTCTTTGAATCCGTGCTTGGGGATCCTCCTCCATTCCTCCTGCAAGGCTTGAGACAGTTGTTGCAACGTTTTGGGTTGAGGCTGACGACGTCGAACGCGTTTCCCAAGCTGGTCCCACAAATGCTCTATTGGGTTCAAATCGGGGATTTTGAAGGCCAGGGAAGAACTGTGATGTTCTGATTCGTCAGGTAGTCCATCGTGATGCGAGCCACGTGCGGTCTGGCGTTGTCCTGTTGGAAAACGTGACGTTGAGGGTTGATGACAGGTAAAAGATGACGTTGCAGAATTTCATCCCTGTAACGAATTGCAGTCAGGTTACCACGGACGTGCACCAAGTCACTTCTCCCGTTGTAAGAAATGGCCCCCATACCATCACACTTCCTCCAAATCTGTCCGCTTCAACTACACAATTACGGGCGTAACGTTCGTTTCTCCGTCTATAGACCCTCGTCCTACCATCGTGTCTTTGAAGTTGGAAACGAGATTCGTCGCTGAACCAAATTCGCTGCCAATGTCTCCAATTCCATCTCTGGACGTTCCTGCACCATCGAAACACGTGCCAGGGCGATGATGAGGTCGTAGTGTGCATCCTACGTGAGGTCGTCGAGGGCGTATCCGTGCTGTCTGGAGGCGATTTCTGATGGTCTGGGCGGAGACGCGGCGAAGATCTGGGACATTCTCTGCTGTTTGTGTTGCTGGGACGGCCCGGTTACGTAAAATGGAACACCCGGATGTAGCGGTCCTGTGCAGCATTGGTTACCCGTGGTCTACCACTCCTGAGGTCGGTCGCGGGTCGAGCTTCCAGTTGATTGTAGCGCCTCCATAAACGGGGAAATTGTTGTGTGATGCACGTTGAAGTGTCTTGCAACTGATGACTGAGATTCGCCAGCCTCAAGACGTCCGATTGCGATGTTCCGGTCAGCTTCGCTAAGTCGTGGCATGTTGAATTCGTCAGTAAACTGGCGTTGAGAGTGAATTGAACACGTTAAACTGCCTTCCTCATATACCCTACACACTGGTGCATAGGTGGAAGCAACTTTCATATTATAAAACGTCCCGTTCTCCATTTACTTTGTATATACTGTATTTTATAAAAACTATTTCACTTTCATTTTCAAATAATCTTAAGTAATAAAAACATCCTGTTCTCCAGTTATTTGCAAAAGCTAATTCAACAACAACTGTCATAAAAACGTCCTATTCTCCAGTTATTTATAATTGTATAATACTTGAATAGATACACTAATTGTATGAGTTAGGTTCAAATGTGGTTCAGAGAACCTTTCTGGGATGGGCCATACTCTGCTCTCCTTAGGCCAGCTCATTAATTAAATAGGGGTGGACAGCATGGCTCATTGAGTCTGTCTTATGCGAGGTCTGTCTTTTGGGAGGTTTGTCTTTTGGGAGTGAACTGACTATTGAGAAAATCAGTAGTGTCCCGTAAATAGCTTTCGACGTGTTGGGTGAGAGGTTTAGTAGTATATCTACAAAATTGCTTAACCTATGTGTTGGACATTGTGGCCCCGCAATAATAGGCCGTAATTTTAAATCATTCGCAGGTGGTAACTTAACATAGGGGGATGAGAGATTTTTACATCCTGAGCTTATAACCGCACTTTTATGAATTTTAGGGAGTCCATAGAAGTTACTTTCCTTCGATTCGAAATTAATGAGGTAATCTTCTTTTTGTTCTGTAAGATTACTGGATTATGAATGAACTAATTTTTTAAGATTTAAAATTACTATTTTTTCCGAGTTTTCTGGAAGCTTTTTCTAATATTCACTATTTGTAAGAATGCCTAGTGACAGCTGCCGATAATAGTCGGTGTCCATGATAACTGGGATTCGGACTTTATCGGCCTGTTTAATCACCATGGAGTCATTTTTCGACAATGAGTATAAGGCTTCCCGCTCTTTACCCGAAATGTTAGATCTCCCTTTATAAGAACGTTCTGTGAAAGGTAATTCCTTTAATTGCTCAATTACTTTATCAAGGGTTTTATTTTATCAGCTTTAGGTGTAAAGTTACTTTTGTTCTTTGCGAGCGACACATCTTCAATTCCTGTATCAATTCAAAATGGTCTAAAAGCCGTAACTTTCTAAAAAATCATGAATATCTGTCTCTAGTTCATGTAAATCTTGTTTTGCAGGAGTAGGGGTGAATTTCATACCTTTCAATAACACTGTGATCTCCTCCTCCTTTAGATCTACAGAGGATAGATTGATAACTTTAGGCTCTATTGTCTGCTCCTATTGTCGAGAGGGGTATGTGTCTACTTTCAGGTTACGGAAAGGGACGAGTAGTTACGAATGACCTGGTCCGGAAGGGGACAAAAGGGGGTGGGGCTTAAGGGTTCAGACCTCACTATCCAAATCGATTAGGCCACACATAGGTCACACACTGTTGTGATGACGTCATAAAAACAAAATGGCCGATTGTCTGCGAAACCCCTCTGGATACAACATTATTACAATACAACACAATATATAGATAATGGATAGTTAACATACTTACTTCTTATGACAACTCGTCTCTGTGCTGACCTGGACCCGTCCCTCAAAGCGATCATAACCCTTAGACGACCGTAACTCCCATACTTTAACATAGACTTACGACAGTCGTAGCACTACGATGCTTTGTGGAACGAGGCCCAGAGCATTTCTGTCAGTTTTGTCATGTTCATTGTTTTCGACACCAGCTGATAAATTGAGAGAGGGAGTATTCTTTAAAATAGATATTTAATTACACACAAAGGCTGTTTTGAGGATCAATAATATCTGGAGGAAATACAGACATTCATTCATTTATTCACCAAAGTGGTGAAATATGTTACGTCTTTGTGATATTAATGATGAACGCAGAAATACATCAGTACAAATACATAAATTTTACGAAACACTGCAATTAATTGATTGGAATTATCAAAGTACAATCAGTTGGCAGTAAATCTATCCACTGTCGACCAAAGACGATTTGAGCCATCCCTTGTGAGGCTGTTACATCAAAACGTCGCGTGACTTTGGTCCATGAAAGACGATATTGTCAACAACTTTCTATCTGACACCATACTGCACGTGTCTGAACTACTTCCCCTGCCATTAACATTGATATCAAAATGTATATTTTACTTAAACCAATGAATCACCTCAAACTACATGTAAATATTTCTACTGTCTACTAGGTAGACTACCACAATGAAATGCATGAAGACTACTCCTTTGTTCTCATTGTCTTGTCCGGTACCGGGAAAACCAAACTATTTGTCAATAAACCTTGTTTTTATCATTACTGATTTGAGCAGAGATACTTTTAGAGTTCTTAATAATCAGAAGATATGACTCCCCCGGACCATGATGAGGGACTAGCCACGGCAACGTGGTGCTTTCCTTAATGGCACATGTTGTCAGTATGACCAATAAACGCACATGTCACCTTTTCCAGTCACAACACCTCAACGTCCACGCACGAAATCATGAAACAAACAACCAGATGTGACCAGATGCTCCAACACCAAACTTTACCGCCATTGTTTAGAATTTATGATCAGGCAATACCTGTAATACGATATGCCCTGATTTATGGTTATCGAGATTTACAACATTAAGGTTGCATTGAGCTTGTTTACACCCATGCACACGATTCACCGTCAACGTGTTAAATGTGTTTTGAGTTATGGGATGGGAGTGGTGTGAGTTATGCAAATAAATGTATCTATATATTCAGGTAGGATAACTGCTGTAGCATATGACTGCAGTTGAAGCACAGTTACGCAAGTCAGAAAAAGATGTTCGCCGTGCTGCTGTTCGCTGTGATGTCCGCTCTAACTGCTGGGGCAGGTAATGTGACTTGCAATCAGTTTCTCTAGTTCTGTTTAGTGGGGGGGACGGTGGATTAGCATATTGGTTAAAGCGTTCGCTCGTCACGCCGGAGACCCAGGTTCGATTCCCATGGATACAATGTGTGAAGCCCATTTCTGGTGTCCCTTGATATCGTTGGAATATTGCCAAAAGCGGCTTAAAACCCAACTTGCGAGAATAAGTTATGTATAGATTACATATAAAAATACTGTAGTGCGGTTATAAGTAAAAGAAAGCCTTACATATGGTGAAAGAACCTGAAACACATGACAACATTATACATAAGAACTATAAAAGGTGCATGGTTATAAATATCGTAGTCTTTCCACAACAGAAACTAATATACCATTCATCTTTTACCAATACTTTAAATAGGTGCACTAATACACTGATATATACAGTGGTAAATATGCTGCTCAAAGCAAGTTGGACTTTAATACGAAAATTATCATTGTGATTAAACATACTTTCTAACGGCTTTGTGCAGAACGATATATGTTATGGCACTGAACATTATTACAACGAGAATGTATACCATAGGTCTTGCTCAACTGTAAATAAACTTATGCTTACCCTCTAAATAGAAGTGACAAAACCCTTTCTACATTCATAGGAAATGTCGTCTAAAGGCACAGTTGATTGTACAATTGTTACTATATGATACGCAGATATTGATTCAGCATGTTATACTTTAGCAAAACAGGCAGATAAAGCCCTAGGCCCTATTCGTAAAATGTTTCATCGTTTTCCTGATTTATCAACAGACGCGTTTTTCATGATGCTTGACAGTAAAATCTTACCTATTCTTTTTCACGGTGTGGAAATTTGGGGAGTGTTTTGGTCAGCAAACCAGTTGAACGAGTCCATACCAAGCTGCTCTGGAAAAGTTAGTTACAGAACTCCATACCAAGCTGCTCTGGGAGAGTGTGGATGTACTCCATTGTATGTAAACATTTATACGCGTGTCATTAAATACTGGTTTAAAATTATGAGAACGCCTGAAAATAGATGTGTTACACATTGTTATGCTATGTTGAAAAATAATTATGTTCACGGTTATGCAAATTGGGTGTCTTGTGTTCTATTTTCACATGGCTTTGGTTTTGTTTGGCTAGAACATGATGTTGGTAATATTGATAATTTTATTATTGTATTTAAACAGCGGTTGAAAGATGTATATATGCAGGATTGAGGTGCACGTCTACATGAATCCTCATTGTTATCCCCCGCAACGCGTTTTGTCGGGGGTATTACAATGGACTCCGTCCGTGCGTGCGTCCGTCCGTCCATGCACATTTGTCTTTTCCGGAGGAGAACTCTAAAACCTTTCAATATTTCTTCACAAACTTGGCACATTCATGGATCTGGTGGTGTACTGGTGCCTTTTGGTAGTTTTAGAATTCTGAATTAGATATGTTTGGCATTTCCATGGCAACAAGTTTGACATTGACTGAAATTAATGATAGTGCTCTTTTCCGGAGCTGAACTCTAAAACCGTTCAATATGTCTTCACCAAACTTGGCACATAGATAGATCTGGTGGTGTACTGGTGCCTTTTGGTAGTTTTAGAATTCTGAATAAAATATTTTTGGCGTTTCCATGGCAACAAGTTTGACTTAGACTGAAATTGTGGTTGTGCTCTTTTCCGGAGCAGAACTCTAAAACCGTTCAATGTTTCTTCACCAAACTTGGCACATAGATTGGTCGGGTGGTGTACTGGTGCCTTTTGGTAGTTTTGGAATTCTGAATAAAATATTTTTGGCATTTCCATGGCAACAAGTTTGACTTAGCCTGAATTGGTGATAGTGCTGCTTTCTGGAGCAGAACTTTAAAAACCTTTCAATACTCTCCTTCCTCATTTCTATATACACACCTAAATATTTGACATAATCATAACTCGTAGACATAATCATGAAGAGCTTTTTGCCATTGCGGGGGATATTGATGACTTTGTCTTCTTGTTAACTTCGTATTGTACATTCAAAACCATCCTTCAGGCAGAGACTTATTTACATCTCGTTAAATCTGCTAAATTGCGCCGTGTTTTAACTAAATTTCGCTGCGCATCAACCGGTTTTAATATCCAGAGTATAGACGCGGCGTTTCTGCTGGTTCCGCAATTCCGTTAACGGATGTAATCTGTCCCTTCTGTAATGATGGTTTTGAAGACAAATACCATATTCTATTAGTTTGTCCTCTCTACCAAAACATTAGAGAGAAGTATATACCACCTTATTACTTTACATACAACACTAAACTTAAATTTATACAATTTATGTCCAGCAAAGATAAATCTGTATTGTTTAATACTGCTATCTACCTGACCAAAATGTTTACACTGCGAACCTATGACCGGGCGCTTATGACATTATGATTTTCCAATACTAAGCACGTCATTGTACTATAGGTGTCAACGGCCATCATCTACGAAAATAAAGAGCCTGAGTCTGAGTCTGAAATATTGATTCAGCAGCATTATAGCTGTGTGATGTTGTTTGTAACCTTTCCACCCCCACCCCACCCACACCCACATCGTATCCTAATTGTGTAGGTTGAACAGCCAACCAACTATTACCGTTTACCTAAAGCTGAGGTGAGGTGAAATTGGATTTAACGTCGTGCTTGAGAATATTTCGCTCATATGACGACGTGCATGCGTGTGTGTGTGTGTATGTGCGGCTGCTTGTACTAGCCCAGACTTAAGCTGGTTTTATAGTGCTAGCACACTGAGATACCATGCCGCAGTGAAGCATAGATACCCCACTCAGACACATTATACTGACTCGGAGCCGACCAGTCCTTGTTGTACCCATTAATGCCGAGCGCCAGGCAGGGACCAACAAGTACCATGTTTCAACGTCTTTTGGTATGACACGGTCGGGGATCGAACCCGCGACCTTCCGCTCTCCGGTCGGACACTCTAACCACTACACCACGGAGGCGGTCGTTTACCTTAAAGATTATACACATAGACCATGTAGACGAGATTTAATACAGCAACGCACATAACATATTCGCAAAGATTCACCAGCAAAGAAATGTTTCACAGGCTATTTAGAAAACCAAATAAAGACCGCCTCCGTGATGTAGTGGTTAGAGCGTCCGGCCGGAGAGCGGAAGATCGCGAGTTCGATCCCCGGCCGCGTCATACCAAAAGACGTTAAAATATGATACTTGTTGGTCCCTGCCTGGCGCTTGGCATTAATGGGTGCGACAAGGACTGGTCGGCTCGGAGTCACTATAAGATGTTTGAGTGGAGTATTCATGCTTAACTGCGGCATGGTATCTCAGTGAGTTAGCACTATAAAGCCAGCTTAAGTCTAGGCTAGCACATTTAGCAACACATACCACGCATGCATGTCTTCAACCTACACTCCAGGGAGAGATCTTAGGTTAAGACCATCAAGAGCACTGGATGTTCCTATGACTAGGAAAAGACACTATGGAGATAGATCGTTCTCCAAAGCCGGCCCCTGGCTCTGGAACCGTCTTCCTCGTCACATTCAGAACATTGTCAATCTCGACCAGTTTAAACGACAACTAAAAACCCACTTGTTCAACATAGCCTTCGCCTAAGCGCCTTTGAGCAATACGTTGGAACAGGCGCTATACAAGTATTAACTTTATTTATTCATATGGGCAAAATGTTCTTAAATACGACGTTAAACCCCATTTCCCCTTACCATCTCTAGAAATAAAACAATACTTACACACATCCATTCATTCGCAAGGTGTGATTATTTAATTATCATTGCAAATATCTAATTCCCGAGTCATATCCTATTTGAAGATTACATAACATACATATAGTTTGCTTAAAGTGAGTGACTGAGTTGATATTTAGCGTCTCAGCCATATCGTGACGAAAATAATTTTTAAATGAATGATGAATACATTTTCAAGATTAACATCTGTCGACGATGGACAGTAAAACTACTATAGTATCACAGATATTAAGATAAAACTTGAATGTTATCTTACAAATATATCTCTATAAAAAATAATACAATGTAAAAACGGGCTAATGACCACTAGCAACTGAAGAAAGACCATGGGGACTTACAGTACGTTTGCTACCTGCATGGACCCTAGCTGGATTTACGCCATCCCTTCAGCGGATGGCGATTATGCTCCAATTGGTGTATTCCCATATTGCCTACAGTTCCAAACTGCCTACAGGTTAAAACAACATGATACGGTCCAGTGATCAGGAAGTGAATACACCGATCTGACCGTTCTACCACTGCTAAAATGAACTTGACTAGTTAGCTGGTTAATTCTATGGTGTCTTCCCACTCTGCCCAAAGAAGTTTAAAAAATGACAAGGGTTGGTTGATAGGACATCTTTATTCATTCTGAGAATTCTCAGACTTTACATGGAGACATGGATTTATCATGAAAAACTGATTTTGACAGGTTTTACAGTCTTTCAGTGGTTTTACAGTCTTTTACTTGTTTTACAGTCTTTTACATATTTCACAATTACACACAACTGACAACCTTTGCAAACTTGATGAGATGTCCAGCAGCATCACGATACTGAAGAGGCGTTTTTCTGCCGCTCTGGAGGTGCTCCGTCAGTCTCAGAAGTCTCGCATCGAGCTCTCTGTTGAACATTTGCCATTGTGTGATGGATGCAGTTGGTTCCCCTTCTAATTTATTAGGAGTTTAATTAACTGAGAAGATGAGATCTCAACAATTTAGTCCTTACCATGTGTTTCAACATAATCTGACAAAGACAGACAAAGCCTGTAACAACATACTTAAAACAAGCCTACCCAACTTGATCAAATAGGATTAAGTTAATCCTGCTTTGGAGGTTATAATATCAGCATGCTAACTGCTTCCCAAAACAAAATAAAACAATATCATTGTACTTGTCTTGTAGTCTTTATTGGATGAGAAGACTCAAAACATACTATACACAGAAGTAGATGCACAGATATATACTAATATTATCCCCCTAATTATCCCTTACT